TGAAAGCCTTATAGGCTTATAGCCAGTATAATACGGTTTGAAAATTTCAAGTAATTAAATACACGAATTGATTTGATCGTAAAAATTTTGTTTTACTTAATTTCACTGAAAATTTAATTATTTATGATTTTTCGAAGTTGGCTCGTGGCTGGCTGTGGGACTGTTTTATTCAGCAAAATTTTCACTACTGATTTGGTTATAATTATTGACCAGTTTAATGACATTTTTGTGTGATATAATTTATTATTATTTTTTTAAGAAAACGTGTTTGAGTAAATTATGTCGTAGCTATGCTTTGTATTTTATCTTGAGATTTTAGTAAAATAGAAGTAAACTATTTACTGTTTGTTCAGAATTTTACCCGTTGAAAAATATGTAAACGATGGTGGAAAACAAGATTGTTCATGGTCAATTTACTACAGAATGCATTACTTGTGTATTTTCTTATTTGACGGCTTGTAGAATATACTTTGTTGAAATATTATTATATTTTTCTCTACTTAGATTCCATTAGTTATTCTCATTAATTGTTCAGTTCTTTTTTTTAGAAAGTACTGAAATTATTTTTCTTTCAATTGTTCAAAGAAATTGGATCATAAATCATAATTTTAAAGAAATCTCTAAAATATTAAGGTAAATTACACTCATATCCCTTGAGGTTAGGTCATAACTCAGATCCTTCGAGATTATGTCATATTTCAGCTAAATAAAAATTTTGGTTTTAACTTTCACTTACACTTAATATACTTTTTGGCATCCGACACATGCGAATTGATGCGAATTGACCATTTTACTCTTAATTTTTTAATACAAAATATATATAATTTTAAAAGACAAAAAAGCCCCTATTCCCTCTCCATATGAATTTTGAACACTTTTTTCATTGTTGATACATAAAAAAGTATGGCTAGATTTTTTTTTTTTTTTTTTCAATGGTGCAAAGGTTCATTTAACAACAGCAGTATGACGATCCTCTAACCTTGCTATCAATGAATTTGTGTGATATACTACTAGTTATCGCATAAATAAAATTGAGCCATATCTGTTTCAAAGATAAGGAAATCAAATTCTGGATTTGACATTTCAAAGTCTCCCTCAAATGTCTGATTCCAATATATTGGGTGTCTTATGAGTGCGTTAGGTGCATCACACACCAGTGGGAAAGTAATGATGTTTTGTAATAATACTAATCACCTGGAAAGGAAAATTATTTTCTGATTCGTGAAAACTTAACCCTCTTAAGGAGTCCAGAATGCAATAAGGAAAATAATACATTGCATAAACTATGAGGTCTTCTACTTTGAGAAAAGGAATATGAACCACGATGAGTGGGCTGTTCGGTGGTGAAACGGGTTCAATTGTCTGCCGATGCTTGAACTCGATAGTGACCACGGATGAAGCAACATAGAGCTCTCAAGAAACCACCGACGAAGAGCAAGAAGGATTGTGCTCGGTCGACGGTGAGCACAGGACGTTAGGGACTGACGGTGGTCTATGGGTTCGGTGAGAACAGTGAATTGGCGACGGTGAAGTGACTGGAGATGTTGGAGCACGGTGGTGTTGTTTTTGGTGGTTGTTGTGGATTGGTTTCTTCATCTTGCCGCGTTGCTCCATCTTCGTCTTCAACTGACCGTCGTTTTCATCTTCATCTTCAACTTGCCCCAATTTTCTCCTCTACATCTCTCCATCACAATCCCTAATTTTGGTGGCTGAGTAAGATTAGGGATGATGAGGAAAGAGAGGAGAGGAGAGAGAATGCCACACCACGTGGAAAATTAGAGGGGTAGTTTGGTCACAAAAATAGTCAATATGAGGTCAAAGGGTAATATAGTCATTTACTACCTCAAAAATACTCTGACTCATAAAAAATTGAGATTTGAAGTGAAAGCGAAATGCTAAACTACTAATTCAAATATAAGTGAAATCTAAAACCAAAATCTACATCTAGCTGAGAAATGACCTAATTTTAGGGGGTTTGAGTGTAATTTACCCAAAATATTATTAAACAAAGTTCAAAGTATTCATAAACATTAGGAAAAAAAGAAAAGATGGTAAAAATGAATCACTAAAAACTACTAACAAAAATTAAAAGAATTCGAGTGTATATTATCTGTCAAAACTTACTAGCTAAAAACTCCTATGATTATTAGGCTCTTTCTAATTGAGAATAGATCTTCACATGTCAAAAGACTCAAAACGAGTTGGTCAAATTGCACAGGAAAAAAAGAGAGGAAAAAAAGATCGATAAATCGGCGCTACATCAATATCAAAATTAGCTTACCAACATAAATCAATATATAGATTCAATATATACTAGCTGTCCAAAAAATGAATATAACAAAATAATGACATGAATTTGTCTAAACCAGAGAATCATAATTACCCCTTATGGCACCCTTAAGCAAGAGGGTGGGAAAACTAAACTTTCCACCACTGAAATCGCATTGGTGTTATGGGTGTTATCTACCCAAAACTCTCTTCCAAATTCTTCCGGATACATCTACGAGTGAGTTTTTTCATTAGCATGATAGACCGCAATGCTTTATGTTCTTCATCAACCATCGTCACAATTTGACCTCTCTCTATAACACAAAAAGATTTGGTGGACCAAAAATTTAGATATGGGCAATTAATCCTTAACTGAGTCCATGAATTCATCTCACCATGTTCCATCATCACCCATACCTCCCCGCATTGGTGTTCTCTATAAACACGGTGGCGTATATAAAATAAACCAAGGCATCCTTTTACATCCATCAAACTAATATGATTTCTATCACTTTCTATACAAATTGGTAACAACACTTCTTTGAACTTGTCATTCACTGCATCAAAGAAAAAAATCGCACCTTTTTCTATGTCCAAACTGTCCAAATTAACAGAGGTCAAGACTTGTAAGTGAAACACGCCTTCGATTGAAATTAGGAAAATAAGAGAATTCTCTAGCCTCTGTCCAAGATTTTTTCTTAAAAGAGTAAACAACATAGACATTTTGTCTAACGACATTGTAATCATCCTTAGAATAAGGTGAACTGAAGAGAACCACCTTGTAATCATGGATGGAAGAATCATAACATAGTCCACCAAATGTATAATCAATAGGAGGTGATAACTGTTTGTATGCTCCAGTGGATGGATTCCACAATATACACGTTTTGCTGCCATCATCACAACACGGAAACAATAGTACTAAACCATTACAAGAACCAAGTGTATCAACCTTTCTGTATTTCTTCAATAAAAAATACAGGTTTTCTTCAGATTTATTGGAAATTTCATAGTCTGTGGAGGAAAAACAGGATAAATCAAACTCCTGGTAAAAAAGGGTTTGGCGTTCCAATTTAATGGATTGGTTTAGATGAGTTTTGATGAATTCGGGTTCAGACTAAAAGACCATGATTTACAAACGCACCTGAATCGCAACAGAGACTTTACCAGTAGTCTTGAGAGTATAGTGTATATGATGTCGAACGGAAGAGTTGGTGTACTGTGGCCACCTTCTAATATTGCTGCCTTCTTTTGGTTTTTCCTTATCCCTATTCTCAGATACTTGACGGCCGGTAGTCTCGAGGGGTGGCCTTTTATTGCTGCCTGTCGTTGCTTTTCCATTCTTGTGCAGTGAGAGAGGGTTTCTGTTGAGAGGGTTAAGGTTATGTGACCTAAACTCAAAGCACACCACCAGGGGTGGAGGGAGGGGTGGGCCAGCAGGGGCCTGGCCCCCCCAAATTTTTTATTTTATTTTATTAGTATACACATAAGAATATATATATATATATATTTTAGTACACCGGCCCCCCCACCCCTCTTGCCTTGCCCTAACCCTCTTTTCTTTACCTTGTCCTCCGTTGAGACTGTTTGTAGGAATTGATGAATTCATTGAATTGGTACACTACTTAGCCTCTTGATCTTCACATTTTTCGATTTCTCTCTTCGTCAGACTCTCGAATCATGATTGATTACCTGGTAATTCCAATTTCCACAGAGAACTCACATCCATTATAATTTATTCTGTTATTTTTTCTTTTTCAATTGATACTTTGATAGTGTTTCTGTTTTACGTAACCGTTTACTGGCCCGTTTGTTCAATATTTTTCGAATCTTGTTTGGTATACAAATTTTGCATAGCTATTTCATCAAAGTCTAGGGCAGTAGGGCATTGTTCACTTGTTCTTAGCACACAATCTTGATGTTTGCTTTGTTGAATTCATGTATTTTGCCTTTTATTTGTAGTTAAATGACAGCATTAGTCAGCATATATAGATAAAATGAAGGAGTTTAAATATTTAATCGGACCCACTATGGGACTTTGAGATTGTTTTAGAATTTAGACGTGAGTCTTGAATTGCTTTATTGTCCACTGTCCACAAATCTTGCTTTATTAAATTACTGTCCACTGACCACTGTCCACAAATTTTGGAAACAATTTTGTTATTTCTCTTACCAACTTTATTGTCCACTGTCCACAAATCTTGCTTTATTGTCCACTGTCCACAAATTTTGGAAGCAATTTTATTATTTCTCTTACCAATTTCTCGATGGTACTGATGTTTATAACTTTTTACATCTCAGGAGTAAAACTGCATAATATTCCGAGGGAAATTATCACGGACTGACACGGAGGCTTTGAAAATCTTAATTGGTACACACTTTTTTCTTCTAAAACTTATCTTTTCCTATTTTTTCTGAAATTCACTTGAAATTAGTCATGTAAGTGTTGCTATATATACAAATTCTAAGCTCACTTCATAGGCGAACAATTTATTTTTTAGACACTTCACAGGCGCACGATTTATTTTTTAGACACTGCACAGATGCACAATTGTGGATGATAACTTTTTTATATTTTAAATTAGTTATTTTATATGCAATGAGGGTGCAATATTATTTTTACTCAATTATGCTTATTAGGAATTTAGGATCGGTGGTTTAAATTACAATGTAAAACCCTAGGTATTAAAAGTTTATATTTGAATTACCCTCTTTAGGTACAGTGTTATACAATGGTGAAGCCAAAAAGAACTATTGATTGTTTTTTTCAAAAAAATGATGTGCCTTCCGTGGCTTCCGCCTCTAATGTTGATGTTTCGATTCATGATAACCAGCATCCTTCAAAATCTCTAAGAGTTGAACATACAAAAGTTGATCCTACCTTTTTAGAACGTGATCCAGGATTACGTCGTCAAATATGGGATTATCCTGTTGACGAACGTGATGAAGTTCGACGAGCTTATATCAAAGCGAAACCATATCAAATTGTGCTTTCAGTATATCCGCTTTCTGGATCGGAAAAACATCGTCGTCGATTTCAATCATCTTGGTTTAAATTATTTCCTACCTGGTTAGAGTATTCTCCTTCAAAGGATGCTGCATATTGCTTACCTTGCTTTCTTTTTGGAGCGAAACCAACGGGGCGTCCTAGAACCAATGCATTTACTAGTGAAGGATTTAGAAGTTGGAAGAAAGTTAATGATGGCAATAGGTGTGCTTTCTTAAATCATGTGGGAGGAAGTCCATGTTCTGCTCATAGCATTGCTGAGAGAGCATGTAAGGACTTAATGAATCAACCTTGTCATATTGATACAATGATGGTTAGACAAACTTCCGAACAAGTTTCAAATAATCGATTGAGATTGAAGGTCACAATTGATGCGGTCCAATGGCTTACTTATCAAGCTTGTGCTTTTAGAGGGCATGATGAATCCCTTCAATCAAGTAATCGAGGCAATTTCATTGAAATGGTAAAGGCTTTTGCGTCATATAATGATGATGTCGCTAGAATTGTTCTTGAAAATGCTCCAAAAAATGCCAAGTATACCTCACCACAAATTCAAAAGGAGATTTTGCATATTGTTTCTAGAAAAGTGAGAAGTAAGATTCGTGAAGATATCGGCGATGCCAAGTTTTGTATTCTTGTTGATGAAGCTCATGATGAATCTAAAAGAGAGCAAATGGCTCTCGTTTTAAGATACGTTGATAAGGATGGTTTTTTACAAGAACGTTTTTTTGATCTTGTGCATGTCAAAGATACAACTTCATTGAATTTAAAAAAGGATCTTTGTGCGGTTCTTTCTCACTATAATCTTGATGGTCACAATCTCCGAGGTCAAGGTTATGATGGTGCTAGCAATATGCGTGGTGAATGGAATGGTTTGCAAGCATTATTTCTTAATGATTGTCCTTATGCATATTATGTGCATTGCTTAGCTCACCGACTACAACTAGCATTAGTTGCCGCATCTAGAGAAGTAATCGTTGTCCATCAATTCTTTTCAAACTTGAACTTCATTATCAATAACATCGGAGCTTCTTGCAAACGAACTGATGAATTACATTCTGCTCAAGTTATGGAAATTGCCCATTTGATAGATCTTGATGAACTTGAAACCGGTCGAGGAGCTAATCAGATTGGTAATTTGCAATGACCTGGAGATACTCGTTGAAGCTCCCATTTTGATTCTGTTTGTAGTTTGATAAGGTTATTTGGTCCAACATGTTCAGTTCTTAACAACCTTATTGAAGATAGATGTAATTACAAGATCCGGGGAGATGCTGATACTGCTTTTAATACTCTTAGATAATTTCAGTTTGTATTTATTTTGCATTTGATAAAAGATGTCATGGGAATAACTAATATCCTTTGTCAAGCTTTGCAACAAAAAGATCAAGACATCGTAAATGCTATGCAATTGGTTTTGAGTACAAAACAAATCATTCTGAAATTGAGAGAAAATGGTTGGAACAAGTTACTTGATATTGTTAAATCATTTTGTGAGTGCCACAACATTGATGTGCCTGATTTGAGTGTTCCTTATACCAAAAAAATTAAGGGTCAGTCACGTCACCCACAAGAGAATATTACACTTAAGCACCACTATCGGATTGATATATTTTATGGCACAATTGATTCACAATTGCAGGAGTTGAATAACAGATTTAGTGAAAAGGCAATGAAACTTGTTACTCTCAGCTCAGCTTTGGATCCTAGAGATGGTTACAAGTTCTTTAAAGTTGAAGACATTTGCACGCTTGTAGATGAATTTTATCCTCAAGATTTCACGGACCAAGAGAGGATTATGTTGACATTCCAATTGCAACATTATGAGGTTGAAATGCCTGTTCATTCATATTTGAAAAATATGTCAACGATTTCTGAACTATGTAGAGGATTAGTGGAAACAAAGAAGTCAAAAATCTACTTTTTGATTGATAGGTTGATTCGTCTTGTCTTGACTCTTCCCGTTTCCACGGCAACTACAAAAAGGGCATTTTCAACTATGAAACTTGTCAAAACACAACTGCGCAATAGGATGGAGGATGAGTTTCTTGCAGATTACTTGAGTGTCAGTATTGAAAAAGAAATTGCTCAGACTTTTAGTACAGATTCAATTATAGATGATTTTTCTTCTCTAAAAGATTGTCGAGCTCAGCTTTTGTAGTAGTTGTTTGGTCTTTCAGGTTTCTTTTTGTATTTATCTATGTCATATTTGACTAGATATAGACCAAGTATTATTTTGTAAACAAATTGGCCAAATTTTGGCTAAATATATTTTTGTATGCATCTAATCGATCACGAAGTACTTTTGACAGTAAAACTGTTAATACTCGCCCCCCCTTACATTGAATCCTGGCTCCGCCCCTGCACACCACACAATAGATTAAAGCCTAATGGGACTGTATAATGAACCATATAAACTTCTGTTACCTATTAAAAATCTTACCAAATTTAGATAATTTTCCTCTATCACCACGGGTCCTTGACAATTAGGGATGTCAATTTTTACCGCCCCGCCGGGGCCCCGCCCCGTCCCGCCCCGTTAATAACGGATATGGGAACACTTGTTATACCGTTGGGGCGGACATGGATACAAATTTTGTACCCGTCGAGGGTCACGGGGCGGGTAAGGGTTCAATATACATAACCTAGGGGCCCCGCCCCACCCCGCATATAACTATATATATATATATAAAAGTTATTTTAGCGGCTTACCCAATTACCCATCTCTTATAATCCTAATTTGGGATGTAAACTTGGTATTAAATTTGCTTTTGTTTCAGTTATGGTGCAAGTTGGAGCTTAGAACTTCTTGTGATTTGGTTGTATTAAATTTTTATTTTTGTTTATTATATTCTCCCAATTATGTTATGTGCATGTTATTTATTTATTTTTTTATTAGGATACATAATTTTATTTATGTTGTGTCATTCCTAGGTTTTGCACATTTAAATAGCAGGAGTTTAAGTTCCAAAAAGTGGGAGAAAAAAATTTGTTAGTGGGGCGGGCACGGGGGCACAGTATTTCCTAACGGGGCGGGGTTGGATATGAAAATCCAACCCGTCGCGGGTCTCGGGGCGGGCATGGACTTGACAAAAATTAAAAGGGGCGGGGCGGGATTTAGAGAAACCCGCTCCAAACCCGCCCCGTTGCCATCCCTATTGACAATTCCTAATAAAAATTTAAAATAATGTTTTTTTTTTCTCTTTTTTTTTTTTTTTTTTTTTTTTTTCTATAAAAAGAAATGATATGAATTTTGGTTATTTTTCTCAAACCCATCTTATCCAAACCTGTTTAGTAGCATAGCATTAATGAATTTCGAAAACAAAATAAAATAATTTAATGACACTTAAAATTATAGGGTTTTTATGTGACATAAAGTCAAAACACACCACACAATTGATTAAAGGCTAATGAGAGTAAAGTAAGGACCGGGACGGGTATAATGAGCCATATAAACTTCTATTCCCTATTTAAAATCTTACCAAATTTAGATAATTTTCCTGTCACCACGATTCCTTGACAAATCTTTTCTAATGAAAATTTAAAACAATGTTTTTTTTTTTTTTTTCCTATAAAAAGAAATGATATGAATTTTGATTATTTTTCTCAATCCAAACCTGTTTAGTACTCCTAAACATAGCATTAATGAATTTCGAGAAAGAAAAAAAAATTTAATGACATTTAAAATGAGACAGCATTCCAAAAATAAAAACACGTAAGGGAAAATATAAATGTCTTAGAATGAATATATTAACCACCAATATTTATATTTTTGTATTCATAAACATTAACCAAATTTTATAGGAATGATATGAAATTTCAGTTGTTTTTCTTTCTTCTTTCTTTTTTTATTTTATTTTTGGAGAAAACTTTATTACTATCAATGCGGACATAGATGACAACCCCTGATTTGGGCAGCCCCTTCGTTATGTCGCACCCTGGTCTCTATTCTTGAGACACTATTCTTGATTCTATTTAAACAAATAAGTTTTATTTGTAGCATTACTTTTCAAATAATTCCTTCCTCTACCTTTTAAAGTGAATGGTGAGATTCAAATTTCCCTAGGCTTTGTTTGGTTAGGTAGGAACAGTTAGAAAAAAAAGAACGGCAAGAGAAAATTTTTAAATTTTTTTAGAGTTTGGATAGATAAAAAGAGAAACTTAATGAAAATTTTAATTTTTCGGATTGAGTATTTTTATTAAATTTTTTTAGAGTTTGAATAGATAAAAAGAGAAACTTAATGAAAATTTTAATTTTTCGGATTGAGTATTTTTATTAAATTTTTTTAGAGTTTGGATAGATAAAAAGAGAAACTTAATGAAAATTTTAATTTTTCGGATTGAGAATTTTTATTAAATTTTTTTAGAGTTTGAATAGATAAAAAGAGAAACTTAATGAAAATTTTAATTTTTCGGATTGAGTATTTTTATTAAATTTTTTTAGAGTTTGAATAGATAAAAAGAGAAACTTAATGAAAATTTTAATTTTCGGATTGAGTATTTTCATTAGGTTTAGTGAACATAGACTAGGATGTTGGTGGAAAAGTGTTAGTGAACGTAGCCTTGGACCTTGGTGTCGCCTTCTATTGTAGCCTTTCATTGCTTTTTGCTTTTTCTTTTGGGACTTTTACAGTAAAGTGGTCTTAGTGTAAGTATATTACCCATAGCCAAACTAGTTTGCATATTTACATATACATGAACCAAGTTATATTTTAGCCCTCTATTAAGCTGAATTTATATTTTCACCCCTAGGAGTTTACTTTATGCACAATTTACCCAAAGAACAACTTATTCAAGTTTTAGAATTTTGTCAAACGGCACTTAGGAACTGCTACATAACACTAGAATTAGGAGACACAACATATAGCCTACAAAGAAGAATCGAAGAACTTAGATCTAGAATTATATTAATACAAAATATTTTAGAAGCTAGACGGCAACGATTTTAGTTTATGAATAGACTTGATTTTAATAATTTAGATACTTCTATAAAACGATTAGGAGAAAATTTAGATTATATTAAAGAACAAGTAGTACAGAATTCTAGTCCAAATAATTTAAATAACAAGATAGTATTAGTCGCAATTAAAGATATTAATAGTGATATTAAAAATATTGCTGAAAATCAAAAATTTATCATAGATTATTTAAAATCCCTTAGAACCGATATCCAAAGGTTATTACAATAGTTTTATGAGCACTAGTAGTCCTGATTATTTAACTGCATTAGCTGAACTTTATAAAATTGATAAAGAACTCATAGGATTTACAAGTTTTAAAACAGACGTACAATCAACTAATATACATATTAGACAAAATAAAATTTTAATTCAGTTATTACTCCAGTTATCTGATAAAATTAATAAACTTGAAGAGAAATTAGAAGTGATACAAGAAAGTATTCCCAGAGAATCTTCTAAAGAATTATCTGAGAAGATAAAAGAAATAAAATTGTCAGTTAATAACCAGTCCTCTCCTGCAACAACCAAGCGTGTAAATTTACTACAACTTCAACCTCATAAGCAAATACCACAATGGCCATTATCCTTAGAAAAGCCAAAGAAATAATGAGAGTATAAGATTTATATGATAATGAGCATTATGCTAAAAAATATATAGAACAAGGAATGAAGAAGGTAAAAAATAAAGTTAATCTTTATTCTAATAATTTATTAGATTTTCAGAGCAAGATATATAATCATTTTAGCCAAAGAAAAATAAGTGCAGTTAACAATCAAGTTATTTTAGACCTTATAACACTCGAAGCATGCCAAGAATTAAATGAAAATAATTTAGAACTTATGCATTTAGGCGTCATAATGATAGGATTAGTAGGGTTAAACAGAGCAGAAACCGAAAGTAGAGCCCTTGCTTGTATTTATGATGATCGATGGAATAACCATCAATAAGCGCAAATAGCCAGCACCAAAATAGACTTAGCCGACAATGCCGCAATAGTAGGATGTATTCCCAATTACACGATGACTACTAGAGAATTCAGTAAACATATTAAGATAGCTATATCTACGAAAGGATATAATATGACAGGACAATTTGAAAATTTACTAGTTAATACCTTATTTATGGAAAAGGCAGTTGATCAGTATAACTTAAAGTTTAAAGCCCAATTTAGTGAAATAGTTAAACCTTTTAGTAGCAAATATGTCTAGATGATCGAAGCTAGAAAAGTAAGCAGTATTACCCATGAAGGAACAGAATGGAAATTACCTAAACTTACTACCACCCCTAAAAAGATTCCAGAAAATAATATGATATATGTTTCAAATAGCGGAGAAGCTAGCATAAGATTTAGTAATTATAAAAGACAAGACAATTTAGTAGATGATACCCAAGAAGATTTCTTAACTACACTAATAGAAATAGAATCTCTTGAGGAAATAAATGTCCTTTATGATAGATTAGAAGATTAAATTCTAGATAAAATAATGTACGATTTTGATAATTTAGAATTAGAAGCATTGCAAGACAAGTATCCAGAACCTAAATACCAACTTATCGAAAGTATTTATTTAGGACAAGGAAATAATGATGATATTAAGAAAAATATTCTAAGTGTCGGATTTGAATCCTTCTATACAGCATTATAATTAAACACAGTAAAACAAGAGTTAAATGTAATAGAGCATAGAGAAGGGAAAACACTAAAAGGATCAGACTCTCAGTCAATCGACCAAGAAATGAGTGACCATAGAAAGAATAACACCTCAGGTAGTAATACACTAAGTGATGACTTTACTACTGGACAACGATTAAATCCCTCACATGAAACTTATGTAGAAAATAGAAATATACCAGATATGTACACATTAACACAATATCGTAGACAATATGATAATATACCAGCGTAACCATCAGGAACAATATTAGACATAGCAAGACACGATCCCCAAGACTGGGCAAAAGTAATCAAAAATTGGGAACAAGATTGTATTCGGCAATTTATTTTGACTAATTTTGACAATAGAACTCAAGCCTTAACCTATTGTGAAACCCTATAAAAAGGAACCATTCATGACTGGATGACTGGTGGCAAGCTTATAAAGTAATTTATCCCAATGATTATGCCATCTTACGTGATAATTTTACCATTCAAGGATTTACCAGCCTCATTAAAAAATATTAGTTAGTGAAGATAGATTA